TTGGAAGGTAGTTCTGACGTTGAGCGACCGTGTACTCTTCCTGCCCTGAATTTTACGGATGCAGTTCCAGTCTCAGAAACTGTTGAAGTTGAGCGATTTGACACTTGGGTAGAAGACGATCCAGCAAACGTCGCGATTGCAATGCTCGCATTTCCTTCCATTTGCTTCCTTGTCTTTCTCCCCAAGGCCGGAGTCTGTTTAAAGGCTTTGTTGTGAGTCACAGATTCTGGTATATAATAACAATTATCCCCAATTGATTCATCTTGCTGGCCAGGTCCACAGAGCCTTGGTGTCACAGGCTCATGGTTGCAAGGATCTTGGTGCAAAGTTTTGTGCGCTACGACCAGGACTTCAATGTGGGCAGACTGGCCATGAGATGGCGTGGGCTGATAGGATGTGCTCATCCCGCATTGAAGAAAGAAACCATCGATTGTCAGTTGATGTGCATCATTAGCCGTACCTCTGACAACAGGGCCAAAGTTGAAGCAGGTTTGCTGCAATACATTGAATACTATTCAGGGAGTGCCAAACTTTCGAAGAAGTTGATTGAACCGGTCTCCGGGGATGCAGCTTTGACATACGCTACAGTGACGAACACAACATGTTGTTGGCGACCGGGTTGAGATTGTTTCTGGATGTAGCCACAGCGTGCGAGAAGAAGGCTTTCCATTGGTGGGGCGCCCGGTGCTGCTCTGTTGTCATTATGTGCTCATTTCATGCCCAACGTGCTGAAAGCAACGACTGGGAAGGTTCATGGACTGAGCGGGACTTTGTATTGCAGGGAGATTGTCAGGCCCTTGATTGCTCACTTGGGATTTTCCTTGGATGGGCATGTGACTGCTGCCCTGTGCTGGAACAGCCCCTTAGCTCCTGCAAGCCGCACCTCGAGTGCCTCAAAACAGTTCTGTCCTTTTGTGGCTTCGAAAAGACTTGCGCCTACATGGGTGCATTTAATGGGAAGTCAGTGAAGCCCTTGCAACTGTGGCATTTGCCTGGGTTTGATTTTGAGAACCTATGCTTCCATTGGTCTGGTAAGCCGAAGCGAAGACGCTAGTGGGGAATACACTGCGCAATTCGGGGAAGCAGTTGCGCAGATTGTCACAAATCTGACATAAGTTACGCGTACATTCTGAAATGACAGCGGGTGCTGGGAAAGTTTGCTGTCACTCAGTGCGAGTCTCTTCCACAGCAGTGTGTTCAAAATTCTTCCTGTGGGCCACGAGTCACAACCCTTGCAGCTTCTGGCTCTTGCGCAGACATCTAGCTTCCTAGCAAAACAGTTTGGAGTGCAATGATTCGTCCTGTGGGCCACGAGTCACAACCCTTGCAGCTTCTGGCTCTTGCAGTTTCGAGTGCAATTTGGGACACGAGTCACAGCCCTTGCAGCCTTGGAATTGTCTTGTTGTCAATTGCACTTCTGGCTGGGGGCGTGGTCAAGATTTCCTCAGCCTTGCGGCAACCTGTTTGTGTTGACAGGTTGTTCTGAGCTGTGTGAAGAAACAATAATGGACAGCCATCCAGTGTGACCTTGCCCGATGTGCCCATGTCGGTGCAAGGGGTCATTGGCATGGCCATGACACAACACAACAGCACCTGCAAACACCGGCTTGGACAGAAATATCAAAGAACTTTTCATGGTATTCTCAATAACAGCACCTGTAAACACCGGCTTGGACAGAAATATAACAGAAATTTTTCATGGCCTTCTCAATACCAGCACCTGTAAACACCTATCCAGTTACATTAATTCTGGACAAACCTAGCGTGTTGTACAGTATCCTATTTTCTTCAAGTTGACCTCTGATTTTGATAACTTTTGTGTTTTCCAAACCCCCAAGGATCTAACCCTAAAAAAGAGAGTGTTGATATTTATTCATGCATATACATACTACATATATATATATGTGCAAGACACACATACTTACTTGCCTACATACTTACTTACTGGATTACTTACTTACGTACTTACTCTTATACGCACATAAAAAGATACATGGGTACGAGTATACATATATCCCACATACACCTTTTCAAGAAGTTGTTCTCACATGAGATACATACAGAAAAATTAAAAGCAACTGTTTTCGTGTGAACGCACACACACATAGATAAACTTGATGCAACATGCTTGGTTTTTTCGTGCATGCAAGGATAGTGGCATCTACGCCCAAAGCACGAAACATGGACTGAGACTGGGCTACCCTTCCCCGCGAGGGAGGCCGCTTCATGATAGTGGACGCGCGGAGGAAAACGGTCCGGTGACTCCGAGGAGGGGGAGGCGGGGGGGGGCGTGTGCCAGAGGATGGGGGTGGTGGGGCAAGAAAAAGCGAATATTGTCTTCATTCAATATGTACGAAGCAAATTGATTTCTGCCGATTTCTGCCAATGAGTTCCATTATTTTTATGTCTATGTGTCCTGAAATCTGCTAAATCTGAAGCGAGATCTTTCAGAAACCATGGAAATCAATGTTTTGCTGGTTCTTTGGTTGCTTCACTAAACACTGGAAAATGTTTCTGGGGCGTTCTTTTACAAAACATTGAAGAACCTAGAACTCCTTTATGAAGCATTCGAAAACTAAATGATTTGCAAAAGCCTTCACGAAAAAGTCAAACCCAATTTCTTTGCAGGTTTGCCATACTTCACTTCGCCGTGGAGCATGCGAGGGGAGGGGGTGGCGGGTTGGAGTTTGGGTAGAAAAGTCTTGGTTTGTGACCAAGAAGTCTATGAACACAAGATTGAGTTCAAATCGGAAATTTAGTTTGGCTGCAGGACAAGAACGGAATATGCCAAATAATATGACCATTTTGTAATGACACTCGGAGAATGTTCGCCTGAAAGTAACAGTTGAAACTGTGTATTTGCTGCGGTGACCCGACGACAACTACGACTTCTCAACGTTGCCGAAGATTTCATAAAGCGGAACTACGTAGATAGTGCACAATCGGGAAGACACGCCATCATTAATGATGCAACTTTCAACAATGCTCAAATGGTGCACAGGCAACATCTACCTGGTCTTGATTGCATCAGAGTTGACTAAAATGTTCGAAAATGGTTCCAGCTTTTCGGTGGGATGTTCATCCGACAAGACATTATGGACTGAATCGCCAGATTGAGCATGTCACGACTGTTTACCAGCTATGTAGAGATTGTGAAGTTAAGTGCAGTCAGACTTTGATTATATAGGTTTGAACATTTCACGTTTAATCAGCATTCGGTTTAACCATTCTGGTTTTTCTGGATGGTTGGTGCTTCATTGATATTGGATTGACATTGATCAGGCTAGTCTTCGTTGCAAATGTTTTCACACCATTACTAACTCAAAATAAGCAAGTCACATTATGAGCAACTCAACTTTTATCCAAGATTGAAACGTATTCGTGTTTCTTGCTTATGTATTCTCCAAAATTTGTTGATATGCATGTTTCTTGCATGTATCAGTGCCTGTTTAACTCAGCAGCCGTGGTTTAACAGTGCCCAAATCTGACCAGCATCATCCAGCATTTCGAAACTAATGTATTTACTGAACACCGCTGGGGTTGCTCAATACCTGGCGTACATCTCAATGGACTTTTATCAAGGAATACCACAACTATATATGTACGTATGCTCTGTTGGTTTTGCAAACACCTGCTTGATACTGCTGAAGCACCTGATGTGATAGCATTTGGGGGTTTACTTCATCAGCTTGACTTCGGTGTTCACTCGATATTGCTGGATGATGGACGGCAGCTGAGAACAACGTCATATACAGATCACTTCAAAGACATTCGGAAAGTTTAGTCCGTGTATTGAAAATGTGACTATATACTAAATCGTAGGTGCCCTCCACACTTCGGATGCGTGCTGCTTCGCCAAAGCGGGCTGTTTCAGCTTTTGTCAACTTCGCACTGCGCACGCGCGCAGCTAAGACAGCATGCTTCGTGTCAGAACTGCATATAGTTTCGGATTGTGAGATGCTTGTTAAGCGTGCTGTCTCACGAGCACCGCATGCGTGCAGTTGAGACAGCATGCTAATGCGCCTGCTAGGATTTAACATTTGCGACGATACGCTAGTACTTCATGACCATCATCAGCAACCAAGATTGAGTCAGTATTTAGCTTACCCAGAAGTATGAAATGTGATGTGGCACAGTTTCGAAACAATATGGAGTAAACCTCCACCCGACACTGGCACCCATCGCAATACTTGCTGGCAGGTTTATGATAAATTCAGGATGAACTGAAAGCATTTCAACGTCAAGCAAGTGTTGAGAATATAACACACGTAGAGACATTGGTTCCACGGTACACAACATGAAGTGTTACACAAGTATTGTCTTGATGCGGGGTTAGAACCAAATACATACTTTGTCACATGTTTCTGCATACAGCAACCATGGCTCTGAGACAGAAGCAAAAATAGAAGTGGTCCGTTTATATCAATTAAACAACCCTAATATTAAATGGAGCGGGGGCCCCCCCCCCCCCCCCCCAATAGAAACTCGGAAAAGTGTTTTTATTGTTAGGTTGTATTTTCATCTCGAGTGTCACTTTTGCGTGCCTGCGCAGGCGTTGCTCCTGCTCCTGCTGCATCTCTTGCTCTCGCTGCTTCGCCTGCTCTTGCTCTAGCTGTTGCTCCTGCTGTTGCTCCGAACCCCCTAATGCAAATTAGGTTTTAAATGGCAGGGGTGATTTCGGGAGGATTCGCCCCAATGTGTTTTGGATTACTGTATACTGTTTATCACCTGGCGTGCGCAGCCTGAACCGGTAGGTCGCTGAGGGGGGCTAGCACATCCATATCCGCCATATCCATATATGTATATACACATGCATGTATATATAGAAATACATAAATATGTCTGCAGCTTACAAACTCAGAACGCTGCCTCTTGGAGGTACCAATTGCGAAAGCGGCACTGGTTGCCGCTGCAGTCTGCCTGGAGCGTCTGGGAGGCGGAGCCCCGGTTTCCTGCCGCAGAGAGCGGGACCTGTCGGGGACCCGCCGGAAGAACCGGAGGCCTTCCCCGACGCAGCGCTGCCCAAGGAGCTGCCCGGAGGCTCCGACGGGGCTTCCACCCTCCCGCTCGTGCAATTGTGTTTGTTGGGTTTCAGGCCAGTCCCATTCCAAGTGGCCGGGGGGCCCACAGCACTTTAACTCCAAGGTTTTACGCCATTCACAAACACGCGCTCATCCCGAGGTACAAGGTCTCTGTGCCGGACCTGGTGGCAACGGCCCAGGCCACAGCAGCAAGCTCGCTTGTGCTTGCTAGTGTCGCTCGATCTGCCAGTCGTGCAGTCTAAAGTCTGGAGCTTTGACTTCTTCTTCAAGCATTCAGGTCCGAGTATCAGTCTGTACTTAATGGGACTTGCGTCATGTAGCCCGGGAGGACAGGGACTAAAAGGAGACGGGGAAAGAGAGAGAGAGAGAGAGAGTGAGTGTCGCCCTGAAGAAGAAGAGTGAGTGTTGAACTCCGCTACACCGCAAATTGCATATCCGAAGTCGGGAGAGAACGCTCAGAAGCCTTTTCACGCTCCTCCAAAAGCCCCAGGAACATCGGGGGGGCCTTCAAGGCCGAGGGGCTGCAGACAGCCCTCATGTCCCCGGGAAGAAGAGAGCGAGTGACATAAGCTCTGTCCTGATGCCTTGAGGAAAAAGAGAAGAGAGGGGAGGGGGAAACCCAAAGAGAGAGCGAGAGAGAGAGAGAAAGAGAGAAAGCCATTTTGGCTTAAGCTGCGAGTGGTTCAAGGCGGAGCCAGCAGAAAGAAGAGGGCCTCCAACCGCAGAGAAAGGTTGAGGGAAGGCATTTCTTGACCCTTTTTAGGGGCGCGATCGAGCTCATCGCGCGGAACTACACGTCTTCGCCTCGAACACTTTGCCCCGCGACATCGGAAAGTTCGGTGCCCGGGGGGATCGGTGCGCTGTGCCCGGGGCCTTTAACAAACCTCGACCAGCCGGAGATCGGCGACCCTACATTATCGCTACCATCAGCCTGGGGAGGCATCTCCCTCGAAGAAGCAACGAGGAGACGAAACACAGCCCCTCACTTTGGAGCTGATCAAAGAGGCGATGCGGATGGAGCTGGGTCGCAGCCGGGACGAGGTGAATCAGGCTGTGGCAACAGTGCGAGAAGAGGTTGTTGCCCTTTTCGGCAAGAGGGTACACAGCATTGAGAGCGGGGTCACGTAGTAGATGGGCACCACGAGTAAGATGCTCTCACCTCCAACCATGACAAGCAAACCGAGGCGGTGGCACAAATTCGGGAGGGGCAGCAATAGTAAGCGGAGACCAGCAAGGCCTTCAAAGGGGGGCAAGAGCAACTTGACGGGGAGGTTCTCCATCTTGCAGAACAAGCTTCTTTTCACTGGTGGCGTGGCCACTGGGGATCGTCACTTGGAATTAATTTGGGGGGCTCAATGGCGACAATATCCTGGAGCTCACTCAGAACTTCAGCGGGGATCCCATCCTGAAGCAATTTCATATCCTTTTGTTGCAAGAGGTGGTCGCTCAAGGTCGTCAATCAGACGTTCATGGTCAGGAGTAACCGGAGTCTCTGCTTCGATGCACGCTATGAGTGGATCTTGGTCTGTGGCAAGAAAGAGGGAGAATGGAGAGGAGTGGGCATACTGTACCACCACAGTCAAAGGATGCACTACCACAGCAAAGCTCACTGACATGCGAGCAGCACCCATCAAATGCCAGCCCACAATCCCATGCAGCCCGTGCAAAAGAAGTGCTGCACCATGCTCTTGAATGGGGGATGACCTTCCCGCCGCAAAAGCTCCACGTGCCCAGCTTCCACCCCTACAACACAGCTCTGCAGTCGCGACGCATTGACTTCACAACGGTTTGGGGGAGTCATGACAGGGGGTGTGCACCCGTGGTGTAGGCATCAGGCGGCGTCTGACCATGAGCGATCTGGTGCGTTCCCTGCGCCCCTCGCCAACGCCACCAGGCTACCATCTCGCCGCCAAGCCCCCCCCCCCTGACATCCATGCCCAAATACGGGCGATGGCTGAGTCCATAACCATGCCCGGGATTGGCTACGACGGGTTCCGAGAAAGCAGCCGCGAGCACAACGACAACAAGCTGCACACAGACAACCCGAACAGCATGGAAAGCAGTCAGCAGAGCTAGGAAAAAAGAGCTCAGAGCCTGGTTCCAAGACAACAAACAACGAGCAAGCCAAATGGATTGGAGAGCGAAACACACTCTCGACAACCACAAGCAGGCAAGGATGGGAACACCATCTCTCCACTGGCAGCACGAGGCGTCCGACAAGGATCCCCCCGCCCTTCGTGCCACGCCCTTGCACGAAGTCCTCCGACGGCCAGCCCCTCACCTGCCAGACTACGGAGGCCAAAACCCCTCAAACTGGCGGTGCATTTCTGGACGACACCTATTTATGGAGTCGTGGCCCAACCGCCTCCAGCGCACCCTCTCGGAATTGGAAGTGTGCCTAGCCAAGGATGGGTTCGGCAGCCATCCGGAAAAGACAGCCATGTTCTTCAGCGAGGAAGCAGCGGGGGAACCTTCAACATTGGGATGGCAGCGATCACGACGCCCATGAAAAGCGGGCCTTGGGGGAACACAGCAAATTGGTGCATGTGTGCACCAAACTCGGCGCTGTGGGCGAGTCAATCCAGGCCAATCGCTGACACCCTCCACAAGGCGGTCAGCAGCACCCAGCTCCCTCGCACTCGCATGTTGGAACTTCAGAACCATGCGCCGTGCGTGTGTGCAACTCTTCCAGTCAGGGGAACCCCAGATGGAGCACCCGAGATGCTCAGGTGGCAGACCTCCGCCGGTGGAAGCAGCGCCAACTTGCAGCAGCGGGCGGGGGCTCTAGTGGATGCAGCAAGCACAAGACAAAGCAACATGGCAGCAAATGAAGACAACATGGCACCCAATCGGGAGACGAGCCTCCCGACCAATAAGCTGAGGCTGACAATTGGCGTGACGGGAAGGGCCCGCACTCAGCGCAATGATCACCCAAGCACTGCCGCCGCACCACTCCGCACCGCCCAAGAGCCGCGACAAGCATCAATGGCACCCCCAGCACAACAATAACACCAAGACTGGAGGCTTGAGTGGGCTGTGGGCAAGAGGGCACAGCAATCACCGTGGATGGTGGATTGGGAGATGTTGGGAGTGCATCGTTTGTGCCCAGGCCGAGGCACCGCAGGGCAGATCCTCTATGGCTAAAAGAGGCCAGTGACGTGTTATGACGACGCTCCCGAAGCAGCCGATGCCCGACAAGACAAGCCTATCACACAACATGACGTAGCACAGCTCTCTAAGCACGGTCGTCGCACCTGTAGTCACTGTAGTCTGCAGGGACCCTTCTACTGCTTTTCTCTGGGGCCCTGGGCTATCAGCCTTCTGCGGCTTTCTCGGCGATAGTACTCATCCACGGCCTCCACTGCGGTGAGAAGTTTGGTAGAGTCATGTTCGGCGACTCGCCGCGGACCGGAAGAGGGTCAAACTTCAGAGAGTCTGTCCTGGAGCACAGGAGAGTCCAGTGGCTTGGGTATCAGCACGAAGAGGAGCTCATGCTCCTGCCATTGCCTCTGCACATGAGCGATCAGGTGCTCCGCCTTCTCGTGAGACAGTCATTAAGTACGAATGCAATGACACAATCCTTACAAAACAGAAGGTGGCGGGTGAGAGCCCATGCAGGCCGCGTTCATGTGCTGGTCCAACAGCATCTTGGGCTTCTTCGCGAAGTGCACCACAACCACAGTTCAAGAGCACCTCCTTCTTGATCGCCAAAGTGGATTCAGAGAATAACACAGGGAGAAGAGCATGATTTCGTCGTCTTCGTTTGATGCTCCTACGAAGCGTGGCATCGCATAGTCTTTCGCAGCATCAGAAGCTCTGCTTTTAAGGCAACAGGTGGGAGGTAGTTACAGGTAGTTCCCACCAGCAGGTGGATGCAGGGCCAAGGAGTCCTGGTAGCTTTGATGTAGGTCTAGGTGCTCCCTCAAGCGAGGTTCTTACGAAGCAGACTTAAGCCTTTGTGCGTCTTCCTTGAGTACTATCTCAACGGACCCGGGCCCGATGGTAGACCCCCTTGTTTGTGGCGTCTGAACAGGGTGATGTACGGACTCAAACAAGTCCGAGATTGCCGCAAGAGCACTATGCTTCTGTCACGAGTTCGTTGAGTTTCCGTCGTTGCAAATCGGACCCTAACCTGTGTTGTCATTCTAGCCGACAGTTGTATTTATTGGCCTATGTGGATGATTTGCTGATGGCTGGTGATTCTCAAAGGGCCACGGATTTCATTGAGGCTTTGAACAAGGAGCTTTGCAATTCTGTGAGTACTACTGGTGCAGCCTCACACCAAGCATTGGACTCAACCGAACATGCCAGGTGTCGTATTTCGGTTCGCAAATTGCTGTGGCCCGGATACTCATTCGCTGTGAAGGAACTTTCCCGTGACGTCAAGGGACCGACTCAGGAAAGTTTGTCTCGATTGAAGCACTGAAGCGCCTGTTACGCTATACTTCTGGCGCTCGTGCCACTGTTCTGAGATTGCGTCCTATGCAAATGCTAGAGGATTGGCATTGTGCTATCGGTGTCACTTGTTATTCTGGCAGTGGCTGGGCTGGTTGTCACAAGACTCGCCGCAGCGCAAGCGGATGCATTGTTCAGGTCTTGGAAAGTTCGGTCATTCACACTTCCCACGCTCGAGCGACTGTTGCATTGTTCAGTTGCGATTGGTCAAGGCATCAACGAGGCATGATTCGTGAAGACATTATCTCCTAGAAGCGGAGTTCGCTCGCAAGGTGAACATTGTCACGCATACGGGCTCGACTGCGGGGTAGAGCATGTCTAAGCACTTCGGCGCAGGGTAGCGCACGAAGCATGTGGAATTGCGATACTTCTACCTGCCGAATTTGATTTCTGCTGGATTGCTTGCATTGCGCAAGATTCATACTTCTGGTGATGTAATCATTGACGAAGTACAACTCTACTGAAGTATTGGGCAACCTGATTGGCAAGATTGGGTTGATCCGCAATGGTTTTTCGGGTATTACTGACATTGTTTCACCCGTCCGCTTCCGCCCCTTAAACCCAGAAAGAGTGTTTCATTTCGGTGTCGGCTTTAGTTCTCCAACTGCCTCGGTTGTGTTTGAGGAACCGAGAAGCGATTGTTGAGAGAATTTGAGTGGAAAGCTTGTATGCTGATTGCATTGCAACATGTTCTCCAATCGTGTCAGTCAGCATTGTGCTTGTGCAGCATTGCAGTACATGAGTGATTGCAAGTGTTGTACATGTCTGATTGCGTGCTCGATCTAACAAGTCGATTGCTCGACTTCGCACATTTTCTTTGGCCATTTGAAATTGCGTGTCATTTTTCACCAAATTGCTGGGTTTTCCATTGTTTTCCAAAACTGATTTCATGCAGTGTTCGGCGGTAGTGTTCGCCCCGTTTCTTCGACTGCATGGTACAACCCAAACCTTCTGCAATTGCGCAGAATTCTGTGAGCCTTGAGTCCCTGCGTTGCAGCTTGACAGCACGATTCGGCATTGCATTGTGCTGTCTTCTTGTTGCAATCCGATTGTAGATTGTCCCCGCACATCGATGGCATTCGCTTCCCCGTTTGGCGAGCATCTGTGCTGGTCTGCTTACGAAATTCGACGGGAAGACGAATTGATGAACCATGCGGACAGAACACCTCTATTGTTTAACCCTCTGGCTATCACCATCGTTGTCGGCCCGGCATTCTTTGACTCCACATCGGAACATTGGACAAGACCAGCGACTCATTGTTCTCAGGAGTGGTAGGACGATTGGTCCTATCAGAGAGACATTGTTCATGCCGGAGGCATGGTCTGGAAGGGACATTGAGCATCTCACTGAGATTTGCGACGGAATAGTATTGTCTCTCGCCGGAGCATTGGAAGCTGCCCAGATCATTGACACTTCAAACAATGGCCGCCTTTTCTGGCCTGATCGCAGACAAAATTGCACGCAGACTTGTGTTCTCAACGATCAAGAGGGCATTGTTCCGGGCATTCCTGCCAAATTGAGGTACATGGAGCGATTGCCAACACGGGCTGAACAGCTCAGTCCCCCCCCAATAGGCTGGATTGAGTACCAGATTGGCAACCTTGGTCGTGACATTGTATATGGCATGCATTGCGAAAAGGTTCTGGGACATTGAGCATGCTCTTCAGAGCAATGCAATCTGGAGGGCAGAACTGGGACACAGATTGGTTAGTCTTCCGATCCCGGGTCAGCACGCCACAGTTGCATTGGCGTACGGGAGACACCCGACGATTTGATCGAACTTCGAGAGGTTGCTTGGGACCAAATGCGCCAACATTGACATTTATCGAGATTGCACTTAAGCTGCATCTAGTGTTGAGTGGACCTGCTGCGAAGGAAGTGCTTCCATTGTGGACTTTCGGCCTCTTTGACGCATTGCTTCCGGCACCTGCCGACGGCATCAATGGGCCATTGTATCCACTTGTTCGGGACCGATTGACGGAAGCTAAGCTGATTGGTTTTCCCCTTACGAGTGGTCGTCGAGATTGTTGAATTGGTTGAGACACAACAACTGCCAGCATATTTCTTCATGGCGCCCCCACTTGCTATTGATTGCTGAAACGTGGATGAACGCGCAGAATTACCACGGCATTGCCGAAACGGTGTTGCGCCACTTCCCGTGCAACCAATTGAACTTCTTTACGGGGTTGCACGGCGCGATTGTAAACTTATGCATTGGCTCGCGCAAGGCCATATGGAAAGCCATTGGTCGGACTCCTTTGCAGTCCTTGCAATGCCATTGCATTCGAGCCGAGCTTGTACCGCCCGATTGCAAAACAACCGCCGTTGAGCGGCTTCCAGAATTGGCATAACGAAGGCTGGGCGCACTACGCCATTGCCATTTCTTTTTGGATTGATCTGCGATGTGGTGTATTGCTTAGCCAGCACAGAAGCTCGCATTGCTCGGAGCCGCAAATTGCCGATGGTGTCTCGCCCGACACATCCCCATACCACGAGGCATTGCCTGCTCGGTATCAGGCATATATTTTCGGCGTGCCAGTTGATTGGATACGAGGTCCATGAATTGAGGCAGGACAAGGACGGTACTGATCCTCCGCACAGATTGGCAAACAACGTGTCCATTGACCAAAGTGCAGTGAAAAGATTGAGACCGAGAGGATCCGCATTGCAAGGGCTCTGATTGCCTGGTGATCTTTGCTGTCACTGTCAAGTGGTGTACAAAGTATTGTACGGTATTGGTACTGAAACTTTTTATGGGGGGGAGAGGGATTAAGAGGTGGGGAATAGAGGGAATCCGTATAGGAACCTTTGACCGCCTTCGCCGAATTTGAACCGAAAGGCTTCCGGCAGCCCAATTTGAAAGGCGTTCTTGGGCCCAATATGAAACCACGAGTTGACCGGAATAATCCTTTTTGGGTTCAACTTGAATCCATGATTTCAGCGGAAGGGCCTAGTCACGGCGTGTTGGCCGCAATTGAAACCATGACTTCACCGGAAAGGCCAGAGAAAGCATCCTTGGTGCTATTCGGCACATGGAGGACAAGAAGCACTGTAAATACCGATGAAATCACTTAGCCGGGTTTGCATTTTTACATGGTGATCGAGCCACTCACATCAACAGTGGTGCATTCGCACTGAGTGGGTCTTTCGCAATCGTATCTCGAAGTTCAGTGTACCCTGATATTCCGAAAAGTTGGATCTTTGAGCTGTCTTCATGCCCGAAAACACGGTAGGCGCCGCCCAACAACGACCATCACCACAACCACAACCACCGAAACCACCACCGCAACCACAACCATTGTAGCAGCAACAACAACAACAGCAGCGGCAACAGCAGCGGCAACAGCCACAACAGCAGCAACAACAACCACAATTACAATCACATCCATAGCCACAACTGGAACCACAACGACGACAACAGTGGCAACACTGTAGCACCAATTCAATAGCAACAACAGCAACAGCAACAGCAGCAACAGTATGGGCAACAGCAACAGCAAGCTGCTTTTGCAGGCCTCCAGTTGCGAGCAGGTGCAGGCGCCGGCGCCATGTAGTAATAGTTTGTCTTGTGCAAGACGTCTGATGTGGTGAAGGCCTCCGTTCGCGTTGGGGACGGCTTCAGGCGCCGGTGAAGAACGTGAGCGGTGAAAGAAACTCAAAGTCGTTCCCTGTGTTCAGGTGGTCCCCTTGGAAGGCTTGCAAAGAAGTTCCCGTCCTTCTTGAAAAGCCCCGTGCCCCGGAGGCCTGTGCTTTGCTTGCGCCGCATAGCAAAGACGTGCGGTATCCGAACAGATTACTACACAGCCAGACAGCCACATTGGACATGTTCCGCGAGCATCCTGATTGCGAGAATTCAAGGTTCAAGTATAGCTGACACCTCATGAGCACGCGTGTCCCTTGTTTGGGATTCCACTCCCAGGGAGCTGAAGCTCTGGCGTCCTGGAAGAAAGCCAGGATCCGAGTCTCGGGGGAGGGCCATTGGCGACTCGAACGGACATTGGCTTTTCAGGTCTGCCGTATCGAGTGGCCACTTGCAATCGCCCACGCCACTTCGCCGCACATAACCGGCACAGCGCCGAGCCACTGCTGTGCTCTGCATGCGAGGCCGGCATCCAAGAGGTGGAGTACCAGTTGCTGGTGATCCCGGACAGCGCCCACTTGATGCCCTTCGTAGGCTTGCGCTCTGAGCCCTGGGAGCGGGTTGAGTGCACTTGGGGAAACACGTACCGTAAATTGGTAAACTCTTCAATATGCTTGACGCTTGAAGGTGCCCTGGTCGTGGCTCCTGCAGCATCGGAGGTCGAGGGCTCTCGGACTCCAGGACCATGAGCCATGTGTGTGGCTCCCGGCTCGCCTTGCAAGGCAGCGCCCATGTCGCCGAGGGGTGGCCCGGGTGGGCGGAAGAAGGGCCGCAAAGAGGGAGCCGTGGCGGGGGCGGGGGTCCCTGCGGCGGGCAGCAGAAACGGGTACCCCCAACAAGGCACCGCCGCAGCCCAAGCCCGAAGCTCTGGTGTCGGTTGTCCATCCGTGTTCGTTATAAGGGCAGTGGCGCCGGCGCCCCCTCGGCTTACCTGGTGGCCGGGCAGGCGCGGAGCCATAGCCAGGGGGAGAGCGGCGGCTGCACGTGCGCAGTGGCTGCAGAGGCGACGCTGAAACCTCGTCGCGAAGGACCATGCGACAGCGACGCCTGAGAAGCTTTGATGCCACCTACCAGTATATGCAGGAGAGGGCGAGGACGGCGGGGCGGCTGTTGTGCTGGAGCAGAGTCCCCATACAGACAGCGGCGGGCAGCGCACAGTGACGTGGCATGGCGCATAGCGGCCCGTCCTTGCTCCGAGGTTGGCGGAGCTCTGCCCCGAGCTCCGCTACGCCTTCCAGGCCGCGTCGCGGCCGCTGCGGCGGAGACGCGCTCTGCGACGCTGAGACGCCTGCCTTTTTTGCGCCGGCGCAGGTCTTTGCTCGCTATCCCACTGTGGGGCCCCGCGTCTTCCAGAAGATCTACCAGGAGCACCGGCTGGCTGCCTGCAAGGCCGCCTTATGCCTTAACTCGTCTCGCGTTTTGAGGTTGAGAAGATTTCGAGAAGTAGCTCCTCAGAGGCTCCGCTGCGAGTTCATGGACAAGCGGCACAAAGGGTGCTAGCACGTGGGCAAGTGTGACTTATACAAGACGGCCTCGCACGATCTCTCCCGGCTTGGACGCACACTCCCACGCCACGGAACCCGTGTTTTTTTTTTTGCTGTTGTTGCCTTTATGTTTTTTTTGTTCTCGTTGCGCGGACCCAGGAAGCCGGTGAGTGAGTGAACCCCGGTGCCCGCACCGACAGCAAAAAAAAAAAACGCGCCCCCGCACCGACAGCAAAAAAAAAAACGCGCCCCCGCAACGACAGCAAAAAAAAAAAACGCGCCCCCCGCACCGACAGCAAAAAAGAACGCGCCCCCGCACCGACAGCAAAAAAAAAACGCGCCCCCGCAACGACAGCAAAAAAGAAATCGCGCCCCCGGGGACGACCGCCCCCGCAAACAACAGTATCGGGAACGACACAATATCTGGGTGTTTAAGTTGCTCATTTAAGGTTTCTATCAAGTGGTAGTAGTAGTAGTAGTAGTAGTAGTAGTAGTAGTAGTAGTAGTAGTAGTAGTAGTAGTAGTAGTAGTAGTAGTACTAGTACTAGTACTAGTACTAGTACTAGTACTAGTACTAGTAGTACTAGTAGTACTAGTAGTACTAGTACTAGTAGTAGGGAGGGCGGCTGTTTTAAGCCGTCTGCAAGCTTGCGTGATCTTGCGTGACAGCATAGAGGTCGTTTCGGGGAACCCACCCTGCATAATATGATATGTGCGTTTTGGAAACAACGCCATTCACCCAGCGAAAAACTTGTTTGCAAATGGGAAGCCTGTCCCGCACGTGCGAGAGTGCCAAGCTTGCTTGACAGCATATATATATATATATATATATATGCGTTGTATTTAAAACCAACCATGCGAGCATCCTGACTCCCCCCCGCCGCCCCTATGATTTTGTTGTAAACCAGCCATGCGAGCATCGTGATTGCGAATGGGGGGGGCTGCGCCCCCCCCAACCCCCCCGCTGTTTTCAGCCGTGTGCAAGGTTACATGACGGCGTAGAAGTCGTTCTTGAAACCCGCGATCCCTGAGATGTGTCTTTTAGAAACCAATACCATTTTTTACCTTGTGACAAGGGTGTTTGCAATCGGGGAGCCTGCGCCGGGCATGCGAGAGTGGCACTTGGTTGACAGCACATATATGAGTTTTTTGTTTCAGCCGACCACGCCACCATCATAGAATCGCAAATGTGGGGGGCTGCGCCCCCCTCCAACGCCCCCGCTGTTTAAACCAGCCATCGTGATTGAAAATGGGGGGGGCTGCGCCCCCCCCAACCCCCCCGCTGTTTTAAGCCTTGCGCAGGGTTGCATGACAGCCTGGGAGTCGTTCTTGAAACCCGCGATGCCTGCGATGAGTCGTTTAGAGACAAAACACCATTCACCTTGTGACAAGGGTGCTTGAAATTGGGAACCTGCGCCGGGCATGCACGTGCGAAGCAAGAAACCCCGGCACGCGCAACAACACAACGGCGAAACAAAAACAGTAGTTTTGCTTCGCATCGCTGTAAGGTCGGAGCTTACGATACTCAACTGTCACCTGCTATGCAGTCAGTCGACGCGCCATGCAGGAGCCAAACAAGTAGTAGTAGTAGTAGTAGTAGTAGTAGTAGTAGTAGTAGTAGTAGTTGTAGTTGTTGTCGTAGCAGCAGTAGTAGTCGTAGTAGTGGTAGTAGTGCTAGTAGTAGTAGTAGTAGTAGTCGTCGTCGTAGTAGTAGTAGTAGTTGTAGTAGTAGTAGTAGTAGTAGTAGTAGTAGTAGTAGTAGTAGTAGTAGTAGTAGTAGTAGTAGTAGTAGTAGTAGTAGTAGTAGTAGTAGTAGTAGTAGTAGTAGTAGTAGTAGTAGTAATATATATGATGATAATAAACAAGCGCCCGGGGAGCACAACGACAGCGAAAAAAAACCGCGCCCTGCAGGCACGACAGCCAAAAAAAAAACGCGCCCCGCAGGGACGACAGCCAAAATAAAAACGCGCCCCGCAGGGACGACAGCAAAAAAGAACGCGCCCCGCAGGGACGACAGCAAAAAAAAAAAACGCGCCCCGCAGGGACGACAGCAAAAAAAAAACGCCCCCGCGCAAAAAAAAACGCCCCGCAGGGACGACAAGCAAAACAAAAAACGCGCCCCGCCACGACAGCAAAAAAAAAAACGCGCCCCCGCCACGACAGCAAAACAAAAAACGCGCCCCGCCACGACAGCAAAAAAGCAGCGACAGCAAAAAAAAAAACACTCTTACCCCCACGCCACTCCAGGGTGCAGGAGAATCTACTGCAGGATCGCGATCCTGCGACTGCTTGCGACTGCCCTTTGTGCTTCTGGCGCGGTTGCGGGACGGCACGTGCTCACAGGCCGTCGCAACACTGCCCCTCCCTGCACAGGTGCCTGCATGGGCTGGGCATGGGCAGGATCGTGCAGATTGTATCTTGATTCGCCTGCGAGGTGCCATTCTCTTCGGAAGAAAGCCAGGAGTGTGCTTCTCTCGAAATCAGTGCAGCAGGGCGGGGATGCCGGGCTAGGAGATGATGCAGCGGTGGCTACAAGATGATAGCCAGCTCGCCCTGCGCTGAGAGCGCTGAGACAGCCGTCAGCCAGTTTTTGTCGGACTCAGCTCCAGGTGCTGCTGACCTGGGACGGTCTTCTACCAGAGGCAGCCAACCCACGGCAAGCGAGCCAGGAGCAAAGGACAGCAGTCACAGCGGCTGTGTGATGCGGCTCGAGCCGGCGTGGTTGGCTTTCAGTCCCGTGCATGTCCCTTTCGTCTGCGTCTGCGAGGCCTTTTGTCAGGCTCGGCTGAAAGCTTGAACCCGCCCTACGAGGTGCAGCATAGAGCATATAGAGCATCGTTGGTTTATAAACCGCTGCAGTACTCCGCCGCAGCAGTGCAGATGGCGCCGTGAGCAGGTTCAGGCGGCGGAGGCGGAAGCGCCCGAAACAGCGGAGGAAGATCCGCAAGCGGAAGCGGATCCCGATCCCGCCGAAGGGGAAGCTGCAGGCCGGGGGGGGCTGGGGGAGGAGACGCGGCGAGACGACCTCCCACCGCATGCCGGGATTCCGCTGCGGGCCACTTGCCGCGAGGCGCCGCCTGCGGCGCCGGCCCCGCCCGCTTCGTCCCTTGTCCCGTGACGAAGCCGCCGGGGGTCCCAAGGGGGTGCGGGTGGCCAACTAACAGCGGCTTGGCCAAGCCTCGAAACCGAGGTTCGCTTTCGAGGGGAAGGCCTGTGTGGCCGTGCGCTCCCTCCCTTTCCTTGCCGCCCGGACGGGAGCCCAGCTGACCAGCTGCGACCAGCACACTTTGCGCAGCAACGCTAGAGAGTATTCACACAGGTTTATACTGTCTACTTCGCCGCTGTTTCTCTCTATCCACAGGCCTACAGCATGCATCTCCTCTTTCTCGCCTCTGTCCTTCGAGGTTTCGGCTCTTCGATCCCTCCAGGATGCAAGCGGGGCCTTGCACGGGGAGTGGAGCCCCAGCGAGAGAGAGAGAGAGAGACAGAGAGAGAGAGAGACAGAGAGAGAGAGAGAGAGAAGAGGAGGGGCAATGGAGGGGTTCGCGAGGCATGCGAGGCTCTCTATGGCTCTGCTTTAACGTTGCCCCGGCTCAAGAGCCTCTCGGCTCTGCTCCGAGGCCGGTGGTTTCTTTGTACGAGCAGTTGGAGCCCTGCAGAGCGGAGATGCTCGCCTTGCCACAACGAGCCGACGCCGTTCCCAGGCCGAGGGGCCGGCGGGCTTGGCAGGGAGACTCCACGAGATGTTCGCTTCAGGTCCTTGGCCATTCTGCTGCAGGTCTCCTTCGCAGGCTCTCGAGCCCTATTTGCATTCCGTAGCCCTGCGGCGCTGCCAGTTGCGCAGGTGCGGGTGGCCAGCGCTCACTGACGGCCAGGCCGGGTCGGCTGTCGCAGGTGCCGCATGTGGCTCTGGCCTTCTTAGGCTAGCCGGCTTGATGCAGCTGCGGTTCCGGCGGATCGGCCCGGCACCGCCATTCCGCTTAAACCCCCTCTGTCCTGCAGCTCGCGGAGGCTGCGTGGGCGCCACGGCTAGCTGGGAGGACGCTTGAAAATCATCAATATGGGAGGTTGTCCTTAAGCGCGGTTGAAGAGTGGAAAGTACTGTAGGGTGGCCATAATGAACTTGGAGCGTGTCTTTTACTCTTCGGAATGAGGCGGGTTCCGAACTAGGGCTAGTTACTCCCCATGTTGGCGCTAGATTAAGTGTACGGGTGAGAAATTTGCGTCTGTTACTATCATCCGTGGTGACGATCCTTATTGCTTTTCTGTGAAAGTGCGGGATTCAGCTTGACCTGACTGAGCTTTTGCTTCTTTGCGGTTTGAGTTTCTGTGAAAACCTTCGGTCCACATGCAGCCGCAGTGGCTCCTGGTGCTTGTGGAAAAGAACTGCGCGCCTTAGCCTTCGGATGGTTTGCGGCGCGGCTTTGCGGTTTGGCTTCTGCATTGGTTAGGCGGAGCAGGGTTTGCTCGATGGCGGATGGCAACGCTGATCATCAGGGCACCCAGCAAGATGCTCCAGCCGATGATCAGTGGCAGCAGTGGCAGCAAAGTGACCAACGAGATTCCTCCTCCAATGCCTGGTGGGGATATCAATGGCAGGCCGCACCGTGGCAGTGGCAACAGCAGCCGGCATGGGCTTCCTACGGCGGGAACAGCTGGTATGATAGCAGCAGTTATGCGTGGCATCCCCATGCAGGAGAAGTATTCCTCCTGGAGCTCAAGCACGTGGCAGAGCGCCACCTGGGGAGACGATTCGCGTGATCAGCGCAAGACTCACCACAATGAATCGTGGGAAGCTGGGACGGAACCCAGTTTCGGGTGGCGAAGATGCGGCAAGGCGAAGCTCCGTCACCTCAACGGCGGAAGGAGATGGATGGATGGGAGCTGAGGCTACGGGGTCTACCGAGGAGGACCGTGCTTCAGCTTCGACGTCTAAAGAGACGACCGGGACGAAATCCAGCGGGAAGGATTTCATTCCTGAGTTTGACGGCTCGGGACCGATGCGTGAGTATCAGCGTCGCGTAAAGCTGTTTGAGCTGAGCACGAGCATCGACCCGAGTTTCAGGGCCCAGAGGCTCATGGAGAAGTTGACGGGGAATGCCTGGTTGGCCACTGAGTCGATCCCTCTAGAGTCGCTTAAGCATCCAGATGGTGTGGCTCGCCTGATGGATCACCTGTGGAAGGAGCTGGAACCGTTGGAGTTCTTGAGAGTCTTTCAGACCTTGGCGGACTTCTACAAGAGCTTTAGGCGCAGCAAGGGCCAAGAGTTCGTCGCCTACGACGTTTCGTGTTTTTGTTCACGTATGTTTTAGAAGGCATGTGAATCTGTAGCACATCGCAGCACTGGCTCTAGCACTTGAGTTTTCTCGAAAAGCGAGATCTAGCCGTAGCTACTGCCCTGTAGCCTGCCTGCCTCTGCCTTAGAGTGAAGCCATGCTGCCGGCACATGTGGTTGTGCCCCTCGCCATGTTTCAGTGGGAGCTTGATCAAGCCCCGGTCTCGCCCAGGCCTCCGCCTTTGCCTCCGCGGTGGATTCGCCCCCCGGACTTTGCCTTTGCCCCAGCCGGACTCGCCTTGCATGACCGGAATTGGTATCTGATTACATTCGCAGAATGTTTCGCATTGCAGCCGCATGAGGGCCAGCCTTTGGAGCCCTGCCTCCAGGAATGCCTTTTTTCCTGGACAGTTTGCCCTCGCATTCTCATTTGCCTGGAAGTTCATGAATGGCTCCCCTTAGTTCTAGCCAATGACGAGTGCCATCAGCTCATGGTTGAGATGCTCTTTTGAGCTCTCTTGCCACTCAGGCAGCCGCCGGGCCCTCAGCCATGGACTTTCCTCAGCCTGACCCATATTTTCTGCCTCTGCGCATCTTGCCGTATCAGTGGCATTGGCCAGGCCTCCTAGACGCCTTGCCACTTCCAGGTTACATGGGACAGCCTCACAGCCCTTGCCTGCAGGACCTTTTGCTCTCAGGTACCGTCGGGCCGCGCATCTTGTTATTTGCAGGTGGGCCTTCTTGGTTGCCTTTAGCCCTGCTTTCTCAGGAGACACATGAGCACATTGTCTCGCACTTAGATATTTCTGACTGACCCAGGTCCGCTGCCTCTGCCCTAGATGCCTCCCGAGCCGTCGGGCTCTGCCTGGCTCGGGCCCCGGCCTGCAGAGCCGGACTCTGAGCTTTCCCCGGGAGCCTCCCGGGCTTCCGCTCAGCCAGCCTTTGCTCAGCCGGCGTCTCCGCCCCAGCCACAGCCTGCTTATTTGCCTTTGGGGGGAGGATACCAAAGCTGCCATTTTCTCCCCCCAGCATATTTCGAGCGTTTCGCCCTTTCCCCCAGATGCAGCCAGCCAGGGGTCAGGCAGCATATGGCTAGCCCCTCACAGCCCCCCACCCTCCACCAGATCAGCGAGTTCGCAGGACTCAAGCCTTGACTCAGCTGTGCCAGGATTGCGGTATCGCCATCCGCCGCCTTGGAGTCCTTTTATGGTACCGCTCCTTTGGCTCCTTCAGCCGCCTCTCAACAAGGTGCTTTGGTTCCCTACCAGGGACCTCCGTGAGCCTTTCCTTGGCTGGAGCCTTGAGGGCCTTCTCTTCGGAGTTGCGCCTTGTGCCAATTTACTTCTTTTCGCAAGCTCTCGCCAGGAAGTTGCTGCCTTGTGCCTTCTGAATAAGGCTTGCCACGACTATGTAGCAGAACGCATATCCAAGGCCCGAGGGTGACACGGCACTTTTGCCTTACATCCCGGGCCCTCAGCCGGTCAGTCCTTTGCGAGTTCAGCACATGGGAGCCTATGCTTTGCTCTCTCTCAGGCACCTTCACCGTGTCGGCCGTTGCAGCCTCAGTCAGCACAAGCCTACTCGCAAGCCAGTTAAGCCCACCCGGTTCCTTAAGCCGTCCATGAGCCCTTTCCTGCAATTGGCCCTTCTCCTTCGTGCTGCCCCCCCAAATTTCTTCGAACCTCGGCCAGCACAGCCTCCCAAGCCGATTCTAGCCTGCGCTCAAGATGCTAGTCAGGGCAGGTCTCCGTTGTCCTTCATGCTTTCAAATCAAACAGCCCTTCCTGTCTTCAGGTTACCAGCCCTCGGCCCCGCCCTCTGCATCACCTGCCTTCAGCGCCTCTTCAATCGACGGTCAGCCCGACTCAGCAGACCTTTCAGGATCTACATGATCTTCGACTCGCCCTCAGCCTGGGCCCTGCCTGCCTTGCAAGCAGCCAGCCGCAGCTTGCCTACGTAGCTCTTTCGGCTGAGACATCATGAGGGGGCACCAGCAGCCCCGCCGCCAAGATCAGCGTGCACAGCGCGCTCCTTGGCCTTCCTATGCCAATAGCCCTACCCTCCAATGGAATCAGGGCCAGCCGACTGCCAATATGACCAACCTCTAAGCCATGTCTGGTCCCCTAGCCTTCGACCCTGATACCAGCTCCGCCTACGATGCTTTGCAGCCACAGCCTTCTACCCAGCCGCCAGTGCAGTCTCTTTCGAAGCCGACCGCCGTGGCGCACAGCAAGCCCTGTGGCACCACAGCCGCCGAGCCCATGAACAGCCACGCCTTCGCTGCCTTCTTTCGCCCTGGGTCTTCATCAGTGCCAAGATAGACGCCGTCAGGATCCGCTTGGACCAGACTTACGCCAGGGTAGCCGGGTTGCTCTTGACACTTCAGCAAGCCTTCCCTACTATAGCCGTTTATTTTACGGAGGCAGCCGTTGATGCTTGCCAGTATCAGGGACCCTCAGCCCTCAGCCTTGCTGGACTCCGAAGTCCGAAGGAGACCCAGAAGCTTAGCCTTCTGCAGCCCGCCTTGCATGCCTTGCCAAAAGGGCTCTGCAGCATAGGCGTTTGCATTTTCATGCGGGTTTCGCTGCCCTAGTCCTGCTCAGGTCCCGCCTACATCAGGCCGGGTTTTTTCCTTCACAGGCATTGTTGCTCTCCATGCCCTGGGCCAGGTCACATGCCCTCCAGCCGCTCCAAGCTCGCAGGACTCCTGCGTGCAAGTGCCTCACGTTGCAGTCTGTTTTCCTGTGCTACGCGCGTGGACACCCCCCAGAGCATTTTCGTTCACAGCGCCTATGGGAGCTTCAGCGTCAGCCTCAGCCATGGCGTCCGACCACGATGCCTTCGCCGACTGGCTGAAGACGTTGGCCCCAGATGAGTTAGCCAAGCTCAAAGCCTTGCATTCTGCCTCGGCGCAGATGGCAGCCGACACAGCCGTACAGGATGATGCTCGGCCTTGCGATAGTGCCTCCAGCCTATCCCCACGTAGCCTTCTTGTCTACCAGAACCAGGAAGCCTTCTATCATGCCCAAGATGGATGTTACACAGGCCCTATTCCAGCTTGTTTTGACTACGTCCCGCCTCAGGATGTGGAAGACCTTGATGAAGCCGACACGGCCCAGCCTTCCCAGACCGAAGCGGCTCAGCCTTCACAGCCTTCAGTACCGGCAGCCGAAGCCGAAGCAGCTGCAGTCACAGAGCAGCCCATTGAGGGAGAATACCTTCCTATGGAGGAGCCTTCTTCCTCTACAGCCTTTCATGCCACACCACAAGCAGGCCTTTATTCTATGATGGGGCAGCTCGTCGACATGACAGCCGTCGTCACAGCAGCCACACACCAGCAGCCTTTTCCTCTGCTCTTCTTTGATCCCGAGGCCCAGTCCAAGCCGATCAACCGCCATGAGCTCTGGCAGCTCATCAATCAAGCGCCCCGATCTGGGGGTGGCCAGGAATTCCGGAGCCTACTTGACGGCCTCAGCCCTCCGCCCAGCTTTTTCCCGTGCCTCACGCCAAAGCCGAGCCCCCGCCGATTAAGGCCGTGCCTTCCGGAGCCATTCACGAAGACCCCACCTGCTTCCAAGCCTTCCCAGCCGCAGCCCTCGGAGAAGCCGCCGCAGCAGAAGCGGTGCCCGAGGTCCCACACAATTGGAAGCCGCCGGCGCAGCAAACCTTTCTGCCCGAGTCAGCCAAGGCCCAGTCGACAGATCCGCCGACCAAAGCCATGCCACAAGTGCAGCAATCCCCGCCGCCCAAACCCAAGGCCTCGGAGCCACAGACGGCGCAGGAAACAGCCACGGTGCCCGCACAGGCCCCCGCATCCAGCCAAGCACTGCCCATACCGAAAGTTGCCACTGCCACACCCAGCCCACAGCCTTCCCCGGAGCCAGCTTCCAGCAGTTCCGACCAGGCCCCACGCTCAGCCTTGCATAGCCAGACCAGGGAAGGGGTCTTCTTCGAGGCGGAGTTCCTTGCATCCGACCACAAGCCTTCATACCCTGGCCGTACCTCGTGACGAGGAACGAGTTACGACTATGTGTGCTAGCTAACCTATTTACTCCCCAACCTATTGAAGGTAGCTTCGCTAGAAACGGAGTTTCGACCGCTATCGTCGTTCGCAGGAGAGTTGCGTCTGGCATGCGAAGACAGGATAGCTGTGACTTGGAATGGCTACAAGCATTTATGACCGTGGCCATTCTGGATAAAGTCCCCCATCAGGGGGGTAAATTTGAAGTGCGGCGAGAATGGGCTAGCGAACGCATCGTGGAGCTGGTGGCTAATCCTGGGCTACCTGAAGAAATCGTGGCGAGCGACCCTCCCGAAGATAGACCCGAAGAATCGGCCAGTGAGCCGGAGCTGGGACCGGAGCTGCACCGGAACCGGCCGAGGCAGCTACTTAAGAGGGCTAGGTGTACCAGCTATATCATAGTAGAGCTTCCCGATAAGAAGTTTCGGCTACACAAGGGGGGCCAGGCCGGGTGCTGGATGGGCCGTCGTCGGATATTTAAGAATTGCCAAGAATTTTCGGCTAGACCGGAGCCCGATCAGTACACTCCTTGGGCTTTTTCGAAAGGCGATCCCAAGAAAGTGATACGTCTCTGGGTCCCCGAGGGCGAGGATAGAAAGACCTCGCGAGTGGCCATCCGTGGATATACGGATAACAAGTCCAATGAGGCACTTGTGAAGAGCTTTGGCTCAGCAGATAGCTCCACGCGCTTCAGAGCGGGCAACGCTTAGGGTAGAAGCGGCTAAAACTGCTGGTGTGTAGGAGGGTGCAGGCAATGGCTCCTTCCTCTGGTGGCACGTCCACCTCTCGACTTCGACTTCAGCGACGACTCAGGGTTATGGAGACCCATCTACACCACGACGACGGCCCGAGACTACTCCTCAGGCTGTGGGCCTGCAGGCCCTCCGAACCATGGAGCTGGCAACGCCAGCAAGGTGAAGTCCTCTCCCTTGAGGCGAGGCGCAATCCTAGGAATCGACGCTGCTTGGGAAGCGGCAACCAGGGTGCATCCGAAGCGCATGGTGGTGCTAGAGATGCAAGTGTGATGAAAGCCATTGACTCCTTGGTGGGCGTCATAGTGGCCAAACGTGCTGCAAACCTTGCTGTTGCATACGTAGCTCAACGGCGCCTGTTGGCCGTGGGCGTTGGCTCTAGCATGCCATGGTTTTGTGAGGGCGAGTTCGGTGTCCTGCTTGGGTTGGTAGGAGAGCCGAACGATGCAATCAGTGCGTGTGAGACGGCGGCCCCTTGCAGAACGCCGCCAGGGCGTAGGGGGGGCGTGCAGGGCAAGACGTTCATCGTCAGTGGCGTCCCAACCCCCTTCCCCCGAGGAGTTTGTGAACCTCCCGTGCCCCGATCACCCTAACCTGAACCCCTTGTTCCCCATGGCCCAACAAGTGGAGGGCATCCTTTCGGCGTGGGTCCCAGGAGCCATCGTGCAAGGGGGGGAATGGGCTTGGTGGGGTCCCAAACGAGCGCGCGCGACCCTCCCTAAGTACGGACCGTGGGGTCAAGGTGAACAGTCCCCTCAACCCAGCCAGCCTTAGGTTTGGGGTCCAACCAGTGGGTGGCGTAGGTGTGCAGACGAAGAGTGCAGGGCTCGAGAGCAGAGCGGGCGAAAGGAATCGATCCAGATGCTCGCGGCTTGAATCCCTGTTCAAAGCAACTGACCTTCCGTTCGTTGGTATCTAACCTTCTGACCTTTTCGTTTTGGGAGCCTTAAGGGGCTTTGAAAGCAGGATTTAAAGTGAGCATTGAAGACCATGAACAGTGAACAGTGGACAGCAACAGCAGCAAAAGCAGGAGCAGCAACAGCAGGAACAGATTGCAAGTTGGACTGGGGTGGGGCAGGGCAGGCTCATCAACGATGTCATGAATAGATTGTTGCCAGAGGGAATAGACACGACACTGTCCACCGTCCATTGTTCTACGTCTACCACTACTACTACTACTACTACTACTCCTACTACTACTACTACTACTACTACTACTACTACTACTACTACTACTACTACTACTACTACTACTACTACTACTACTACTACTACTACTACTACTACTACTACTACTACTACTACTACTACTACTACTACTACTACTACTACTACTACTACTACTACTACTGTGCACAGGGAAGACCCCACCCAAGATGCAGCTATACTCAGTTGCAATCAAACCAATGGCGCTTTTTTTTCTCTCAGTTCTGCTCTGCCAGCTTCTTCTTCACGGGGCGGAAGAGAACAACGTTGCCTGCGTGCAATCCACGCAGCTTGCAAACCAGTAGTTGTGGTAGTAGTGGTAGTAGTGTAGTAGTCAGTGGCAAAACAGCATCCGGCCGCAGTCCAGTAGTTCATTGGTGCCAAAGCCATCGAGAGCCCGACCTGGCTCGCAACATTGCATGGGAACACATTGTTGAAAGCATCACTCGGGCACAGACTGTGATGCATCATGCTGGTTCGTCCTTTTCTCTTCAGGTCCTGCAAGCACCAGGGCTGATCAACACAATTGAGAAAAAACAGCACGAGTCCTTCTCATCTTTCGCCGGCTGAACACGGCGAATCCAACGTGGCGTTTGTGTGCTCACCGTTCGAGTTGAACATGCATCAACATCATCTGTAGCGTCCACGTCCACATGACAAAAAGGCGAGTCTTCTTCTGATTCTGGCCGGTCTCGCGATTCTGCTTCTTGCTCTTTGGCATTTTCAGCCTTGTTCTTCGTCCATTGTGCCCATCCCGACTTACCAGATCTGCCACTCCGATTGCTGGCGGGTTTTTTGGCAATCTTGGGCTTGTTTTTTAGGTTCTTGGATTTTCCTTTCACCATCCGGCCCATTCTCCACAAACAACAGTGGACAATGGACAGTGGACAATGGACTAGTGTTGTCGTTGTCCGTTCCGCAATGCTGCTGCCCAACAATATCAGTGGACAGTGAGTGGACACTGCACGTTGGATGAACTAGTGCTGTCCGTTCTGCAATGCTACTGCCCTGAATTTGCAGACTCTGCACTACATTGTTCATGATTATGAAGAACATGATGCTGATGCCACATTCTCTCTCTAAAGCTTGAGCACAGAACACTGCATGCTCCAGAAACTTGTCATATGTTCTGTCCAGAGGCCCCAAATGCAAACATTAACAGAAAAGCAACTGCTTTATGTGAAAGTAGAACATGTAGTAATGTAGTATTACTACAACATCAGCGTGCACACACGTGACAGCGTGCATGCACACACAGCACTGCGCGCGCACTGCGCGCGCACAGCGCGCGCACAGCGCGCGCACCGCGCGCGCACTGCGCGCGCACCGCGCACGCACAGCGCGTGCACTTTTTCACAGCAGCCCGTGCAGCTTCTGCGCGCATAGCGCGCGCACTGCGCGCGCACACACGATATATGCGCGCGCGCTTCTGGGTGACAGCGCGCGCGACTGCTGCTGCTGGCAACAGTGGACAGTGGACAGAGTCTGAGCTCGTTGAGGTAGGACCCCAGCACCTGCAGGCCAACACTGTCACTCGCAGTGGTCCACAAACTAGCTTAGCCTTAAACCCCCCTAGGCCCGGAATCCCTCCCCCACAATTAAAAAGGTCGCGAATTAACCGACGCCTCCTCCGGTTAATTCGCCTTTCCCCACCTTTTGCCCTGCCTTGGCACGATACCCTTTTAGACCTAATAACTGTCCACTGTCCACTGTCTACTGTCCATTGTTTGTTAGCACTGCCAGCCGTGACTGGAGACTTGCAGGCCGGCTGGGCGCCTTTACTAATACAGAGTTTCATGTGCAGAAAATACGCTTTTCAGGGTTAGCTTTCTGGGGGTATGTTTCAACGTGGAGGATTCAGAGGTTTTGTGGGTTGGACGAAATCTTTCATTGTCTTAAGCTTGTGCCCTGATCAGCACTTGTTACCAGTATGCTCATGTCCATCAGCAACAACTTCACAGCTGCCCACACCCTCGACACTAACACCATAAATTGAACCGCCTGGTGTGACAGGTGAGGGGGGGGGCGGGGCGGTCGATTAATGTACCCTAGGGGTAATCATTGAGATCATTCAGGCTTCCAGCTTACTCTGCAAGTGTGCTGTTGCTTTGAAGTTACATGTATCGGGGCTTCCTTTGTGCTTTTTAGCTGAAGGGTCACTGCATTGAGTAGGTTATTCAAATCATTTCAACCGCTATCAAAATGGCGGCTACTACGCCAAATCCAGCCACAAGTGCTGGCCGCCAACAACATCATCATTGAATGCTTGGTTGTGTGTGATCTGCTTCGAGGAATGATGATTGGATAACTTCATGTCGCGTCAAACATAACCGTGTTACTTGAGTGCTTTGTTTTGTTCCAGAGATGTCTTCATGCGAAGTAACGGTGCCCTGATTCATTGATTCGCATCCCTAGAGTAGATAGAATGCTTTCTGTGAAACCCAATATACTACCACCTGCTCGCGCGCCCATTTCACTGTTCACTGTTTGCTGTGCATTGTCCACTGTACTGTAGCCAGTTGCATTGACTGCGGGCTTGCTTGGCACATTTGCAGGGATAGCCTAACTCAGGTTGCATCGCCAGCACTCTGCATGGGCCCAACCCACCACAAACTTGCAGGGGCCCTTGCGGACCAGCCAACTGCAAGGGGCAGGTTAGGCCAACCAAATGCAGGGGCAATGCACCTCAACACAGGAATTCAGAATATGTTTGGGTGTTGTGAATGTTGTGAATCACGAGTAGTTGCCATCCCTATGAGGTGAGACTTCATGGGCCTGACTGTGCTGCCCAAGCTTTTTTGCCTGCCTTGCGCTTCTTATGTCGCCAGGCATTCCTGCTCGCGTGGGACTTCACAGTGTCCTGGGAGCTTGGCATCTCGGCTGAGGCCGTGGAGTCGGGGCCTTTTGTAACAGTAGACAGTGGACAGTGCACAGGGGACACGGTCAACGTTCTCTTTGGAGACAAAGCTGTAGTAGTAGTAGTAGTAGTAGTCGTACTAGCACTTGGCGAAGGAGGCGCGATAGGTTCTG